TAAACATGGGGGTGCAAGTATCTTTTTCAATCAGTGTTTTTGTGTCTTTTGGGTAGATACCTAGGAGTGGGATTGCTGGGTCGTAGGGGAGCTCCATGTTTAGCAGTTTGAGGAACCTGGGCCAGGAGGAAATTTTAAGCATGGGCTGTTTTAGATAGAAGGGAGCTGTGGGACAGGGGGTGCCCTAGTGGGGAGTATGGTTGGTACCGTACATCTTTTTTTAATATTATTTTTTAATATTATTTATATATCTATTTGCATTACTGTTCATTTTATAGCAATGTTACTTCCCCCTCACCCACGTGTCATCACCATAGCCCCCATGTTCCTGCCTCCTTCTGATTCCTCCCTGTCCCCCTGACCCAGTAGGGTCTCTCTGGTTTATAATTGTCTGCTTGCTTTTGTTTTATTTTGTATTGTAATAACTATATACTTCACCCCCCATATCTTAATTAGTTTTCTTTAATTCCTCCTATAAGTGAAACCAGTCGATATTTTTCATTTTCCTTTTGACTTATGCCACTGAGCATGATCCCTTCCAGCCCCACCCATGTTTCTGCGAATAGCATGAGTTTATCTATTTTGACTGCTAAGTAGTACTCCATTGTATGTGTTTATACACATCACATCCCCTTGATCCGATCTAGTTTTGGGCATTTGGGTTGTTTCCAGAGTTTACCTATTGTAAGTAGTGCTGTGATAAACATAGGGGTGCACGTAACTTACGTTTTGAGAGACATGAACCTGGGCCAAGAGTCCTATGTGGTGTTGGAAACAAATGTCACCTCAATAAAAAATAATAGTAATAATTCAATTAAAAAACAAACAAACATGGAGCTACTGGGTGACCTGATACAGGGTGAGGCTCAAGTACAATATTCCCAGGGTTGGAAAGAACAGCAAGACCTCAGGGGACCCTACTCAGCTACAGGGGAGGGGGATGGAATCTGTGAAGTTACAACCCTAAATTCCCACTTTTTCATTTTTTTAAAGATTTATTTATTTATGCATAAAGAACTGGAGTACAGGCTAGAGGTGCAGGGGTGGTGAGAGGATTCACCAGAGACAGAGTGGGGAGCAGAACAGGCAGACATACTGAAATACACTGCTGAGGGGAGCAGTGGGCAGGTCAGGAGAGGTCTGCCACGCCATGTGGGTCACCTCCAGGACAGGCGGGGATCGAACTCATGCTGAAGTGGCTTTAGCTTCTTAGTGCAGTGCTTTAATCCGCCGCGCCATCAGGGAGGGCCCCCTCCACTTTCCTTTTTCTTCTAGTGTGCTTGTACTAAATCAGAAGACTGGAACATCTTTCTATAACTGGGGAAATGTCAGGGTCAGGCAGCCTGTTGCAACTCAAAGTAAAAAACATACAGACATTGGATCTATAACATGCACATTAATATCAGAAAACCGGTGAGCCGAGAAAACAGGGCTATTTTACCTCAAAAGCCTGTTCGGCATCGCATCTCAAGATGGCTTTTTTCTAGTGAAGAAAACAAAGACAGTCAGCACAGCCAGCCTCCCACCAGAACAGACTACCACAGTCTGTTGTGGTCTCCTTGGACATCTTGAGTCAGGTATAACCCATGGCCCTGTTCCTGGGAAAAATATCCTGTCTTTTCTGATGGCACCAATGGGAGACTCTCAGTTCCAAACAAGAGTTTTAGGTCAAAGAAAAAACATTATTAACAACATGGTATTTTCATGTAACCTATGTTGTATGTGTGTGTGTATGTGTAGATTCTGATAGTATTATCCGTACTCCCTATTCTTCATCATTTCTTCAAAGTCAGACATCATCTCCAGGCGTGAGAGGGGCTGTGGGGCCAGCAGAGGAGGGAGCTGGGTTCCAGCTCGTGCACCTGCCCCCACTGGCATCCCCTGCCCACAGGCCCAGATAAACATCTCAGGAGGGAGGTGCTTGAACAGCCGCCTCTGGGGAGGGCGCTAGAGTGGGGAGGTGCCTGTGCCACCCCTGATCATCCACAGGCCCAGTGACCGGCCCTGTCCCTGGCTTGGCTGAGCACAGCCAGGGCTCCTGGCTCCCAGCACTGCCCTTCCTGCTGCTGGGCCCCAGAAGCAAACTCCCATGGCTCCCCCTTCCCTGGCTGTGAGTCTGGGCTGCTCCCCGTGCTCCCAGCCTGTGGGCTGTGCTCACTGCTCCCTCCTGGCAGCCCTTCTCCAGGCACTGGGTGACCAACTCAGCTGCCATCGCCTCATCATTCCCTGAGCCTGTGTGCCAGTGGCCCCTGGCTCTAGACAGGGTCATTCCTCCAGCAAGCCCAGCTCTGTCTTTGTCTTTACCATATGGAAATGTTGTGTCTATGCTTTTCTTGTTTGGTAATGTGAATCCCTAGTCCTCGGGGCATCCGTGTGAGGAGAAGGCCTGAAGTTAAGAGGGACTGGGATCCCTGGACGTGGAAATGGGGTCTCCTTCTTTAGATAGGATGGTGGTGTGGGTGTTGGAGCATGGGGTTTCTGTGTTTAAAAGAAACCTCACATGTCTACATATATTTCCTTTGTTCAGAAGTATTCTTGAGTTCATCTTACTCTTCCACCAAGCCCCAAAATCCTCACATTTCCCTCCTGCTGAGGGAACTCTGTAGGGGGGTCAATAGCAGGCTCACGTCGAATTTGGCTACATCTTGGTCTCATATCCACCTGCTCTTTCTGGTCTGCCTCTCAGGATCCCTGGGGTCCTCCATCTGGGGATCCAGTGGTGGGGGATGTGGGTCCAGGTGCAGCTCTGCACCCCAGAGAGCCATGGGGATGGGCTCTGCTCTGAGTAGGAGACCTGGGGGAGGGGAGAGAGCACCTGTCCTGGAGGGGTGTCACATCACACCAGGGGAGTAACCTCAGCCAAGGACACACTGGAGTCTCTGCTCCATGGGGACTGTACTGCTTTTTTATTTTTTGTGGTTGGCCTGTGTTGCTATGAACCTTCCTTGCATATCACTTTGCTGTCTGTGGGATCTCATAGTTGATCTCTTCATTTTCATTGTTTGCGCTTGACTTGACTCAAGAGTTACTCCAATGCATTTTATTTAGTCTCCCCATGTTGAAGTCTGTTACGGTTTTCTTTTTGTGGTTAATTTCCAGGTTTATACTTTTGTGGTCAGAAGCGATGCTTGATAAGGTTTCAACATTCATATTTTTATTGAGGCTTGTTTTTGTCCATACAGAGGATCTGCCCTTGAGGATGCTAACTGTGTAATACGCATTCATTTTGGAAATTGTGTGTCTGTCATCAATTATTTTATCTAAAGTCATTACTTTCTGGTCTGGCCTCTGACATAAGTGGTGTGTCAGGTCCCCACATTGGTGCACCGTGGTCAGTCTGTTTGGTTTTGTTAATAAGTGTTTTCTGCATCAGGTGCAAATGTGCTGGGTTCATAAGTATAATGACAGCTGTATCTTTGTAGTGGATCACATCAATATATTGTGTTCTCTGTTAATTATTGCCATAGTTTTATTAGCAATTTATCATATCAGATATTTAAATAGCAGTTTCTGTTCTTTTCTGTGAAATATAACTTGAAATCCTTTGCTTCAGCTTTTCATTATGATTCTGTGATATTTTTAGATTTGATCTGAGTTTCTTGTTTGCCTAATAAAAATGGATCCTACATGTTATTCATCCAACCATTCTCTGTTGATTGTGGGTTCAGGCTACTCCATTTAAGGTGGTTATTGCTATAAGGGGCTTAATACTACTATCCTCATTTTTGTTTTCTGGTTATTTTCTTTTACTTCTGTTGCTTCTTCTATGTGTTTCTGTTTTTTGATTTCCAAAATTCTTTCAGTAACTTCATCTTTACTTCTGTGGCTCTGCTCCAGACTTTTCTTGCCATGAGATTTCTATCAAACTTTCTGTATCTAAAATATTTTTTTGCAATGGAATCAACTCATCATTATTTGACGATACAGATTCTGTCCTTTTCCTCATAAGTATTATCACGATGAGGATGTAGAACACTTCCATCCCCTCCTGCGCCCCCTGTGCTGTCCTTTATACTCTCCTTCCACCCAGACAGTTGATCTTCGTACACACAACAAGCCATTAGTGTATGTCATTATGAGAAACACATAGCTTTCTGTGCTGTCAATTCACAAGTGAATGGAGCATAACTAGTTCCTCACATAGTTTTTATTCTAATTGAAAAGAAGTTTGTTTCTGGTCCTCAGATTCTTCATCTACAAACTGACTG